CTGGAGAAGAGAAGGTTTTGGGGTGACCTGAGTGCGGCCTTCCAGTGCCTGAGGGAGCTGCAGGAAAGATGGAGAGAGACTTTTCACAAGGGCCTGGAGTGACAGGACAAGGGGGAATGGCTTCCCACTGCCAGAGGGCAGGGTTAGGTGGGATATTGGGAAGAAATTCCTCCCTGTGAGGGTGGGGAGGCCCTGGCACAGGCTGCCCAGAGAAGCTGTGGCTGCCCCTGGATCCCTGGAAGTGTCCAAGGTCAGGTTGGACAGGGCTTGGAGCAACCTGGGCTAGTGGGAGGTGTCCCTGCCCATGGCAGGGGGTGGAACTGGATGAGCTTTAAGGTCCCTCCCAACCCAAACCATTCTGGGATTCTTTCCCAAATCTGTTTGTGAAACCATAGTTTGATGACTAACAAGCCAATTGGGTCTGAAAATCACTGCAGAAAGTAACAGCATTGTCTTTATCTCACAATTTATTGACTCTGTGGCTGAGCTGCAAACTGAAAAGAGGTTTGTTTTCTTTTTGTTCCTTTGGTTGTTTTTTTTTTTTTTAGTTGTGCTTGCAGATTTATATTTCAGCCAAATTAGGAGCTGTACCTTGGTTACAGGTCATGCAGGAAGCAGCAGAATTGCCTCTTCTCCTGCTGCTTTTTTCTCACTGCTCCATTCTCAGGTCAGGGGAAGTGACCTGCAGGTTCACCTGACTTGCCTTTAACTGAAAGCAATTAGGAAGTGTTCACATAATGACCATTTTCAAGGGGTAGGTATGGATGGGGATTTAGGGATTCTTGTCAGGGAAGTGGTGATCAGTGTTTGTGTGAGCCCTTTCACTGACCCACTGAGGAACTGAGAGGGGAGCCCTGCAGATGCTCTGCCTTTTATATGCCTGTCTCAAATAATTTTATAAATGTGGTGTAGTAGTATAACTACTGCAATTATTGCCAAATAAATAAATACTGTCTTTTTGTTTTTTTTTTCTTTTAGGACTATAGTTCCAGGAAGCCTGGATGAAAAACATGGAATCTGTTTCATGTGCTGCCAGAGTGTTGTTTGCATGTTTTCCTCAAAGGTAAGATAACTGTCAAAGAGCAAAAATGTGTTTGTCAAATGAATGTGGTAACGAGGATGAAGTTCAGTGTGGATGTAGTTGAAAATTCGAGCTAACTCATCAATGGAAAAGCAGGATTTGGGATCATAATCCTGGCACAGTTTAGGCTTTTCACATTAGACCAGCAGTTCTCGTTTTGTCACGGTTTAAATATGAGCTTGTGTCTGTGAACAGCTTTATTTTTTTAATTACTGTAGCTGGGCATGGTTAGTGGGGGAAAAAAAGGTTCTAAGAGAACAATAAAAACCTGCTGAATTTCCCTGCAATGTGCTTATTTTGAAGTGGGAAGGAAGCGAACTGACATGGATAACATATGAACCTACTATATCTCCTTGATGTGGATATTAAAGGAACCTTGAAAATAGTTTATGGGGAAGTTGTTGGAGGCTTCTAATTTTAAATTCTTAACAGGAAATCATTAAACTGTAGAGGAGCCAACATAACAGACTGTTGCTCTAAAACAAGAGCTAAATGCAGAGCATCCACATGAACTTGTCAGATCTTTTTTTAATGATTTTTTTTTTTTTTGCCCTTCCTTTCATGTTTGCTGCAACCCAGATAAATACATTTTCATTTTTTGTTTTTCATATGCCTCAGTTCAGGGGTCCCATTCTGGATGAGATGTGAGAGCCAATGCCCTTATGGTCAGACCTCAGTGGAGATGATCCATCAGCCCCAGAGGTGTTAACTCCTTGTGTGGCCACCCAGAACTTGTGGAATTAGGAGGAATTTCAGTGTCCCTTTCTTGGTTCCTTTTATTGTCTGATGCAGTGAGAAATGCAACTAATTTAATTTAAAGTTTAAGCCTATTTGACAAATTTTTTTTAAAACTCCAGCCACTCTGAGATGGATTTATTTCAGTAACTTTTAGCCAAAATGAGAAATAAGCTATCATTAAGGTCAAGTAAATATCTGATTGTGTTTGAGTTAGAAACATTTTATGTTAAATGATTTTTTTACTCACATAAAAGATGCTTTTAACTGTGAGCTGTTTAACCTGAGCTGGGTATTAGAAATAAACAGCTGAGGGGCCATGGGCAGTTTCTGCCTAGCATTTGCTTCCTTTAGGTCCAAAGCCAAGGGAAGCACTCCCCAATTTTATATATCCAAGTGAGAGGTCCAGAAAAAATGCTCAGTTGCCCTTCAGTTGTTGCCTGTGACTCAGGCCCTGCAGTGGAGAAACTTCCCATCAAGCTGCTTCTTTATTAAAAGCTTTTTCTCCCTGCATCAAACTTCATCTTTATTAGAAGATTTTTTTCCTCCCTGCATCTTCAAGCTTTTATGTGTTCCTATTTCTGTGAGGGTCTGGTTTAGCTGAAAGTTTTTTTTTTTTGTTTGTTTTGTTTTTTTTTTTTGAAGGACTTCAGAGGAAAATGAGGAAATATGGTTTGAGTTGTTGGAGGATCTGCTGGTTTTCGTGTGCCCTGTAAATCTTGAAGCACTTTGGTTTTCCAGCAGTGGTTTGGGGAATGCAGTTGTTGCAGGCAGAAACATCTTTAATGTATTGTAATTTGATTAAATGTGTGAGTGTAGGTATGATTTATATGTGCTGCCATTGCCTTGACTGTAGAAGTATTGACAGAAACGAGGCACTTTTTCACTTGAAAAGGCAAAAGCAACACTTGGATATAAAAAGACAGAAATACCTTGGGGTGTGAAGAGGAGTTTCTTCCCTCATAACTATTTTTTCCCCTTTGTTTCCTTAAATTTTACAAATGCCAGGCTCCCTAGAGTGTGTTGACACCAGGCATAGGGGAAGGAGTCCATCTGGGTGGTTCTGTTCCTGGAGGAGCTTGTGATTTTCCACTCTAAATTGTTTGGGAAAGCATCACCTGTATTGAATGGCACTAATCCTCCCATGACAACACCCTTGCCCACGTTTATCCAGCTATGAAATAGGAATATTGTACTTTTTGGAAGTGATGGGCTTTAGTCATCCCTATGACGACACAGACGTGACAATCTTATTTTGTCATTTTTTTGGTCAGTGGTTTTAAGTTGGTTTCCTCATTTCCTGGCTACTTTGTGCTAAAAAGTAATTGTAAAATATTTATTCCTCCCCTTTTCTGTGTGCTGTGATGTGGATGGCAGTGGATCTGCTGCAGGCCTGGCAATTAATGTGCCATGCCCATGTTTTATATGTTAATTAAAAGGGGAGTAGCGATACCTCGAGGTGTTTGGGATTGTACAGAGCTCAAATTAATCTTTATCTCCTTTACACGCCGTTGAAGTGCCCAACAGACTTATCTAAAATACTGTTATGAAACTTAATGGTCAGATTTTTAAAGCAATTCTATCTTGGGCTGCTGATCTGGTGATTGATCTGATGGTATAAACACCTGGAAAGTAGGAAGGGCTCGTTATCTTATTGGATTAGTGGGGATTAATTCATTAATGGTTGTAACAGGTTTGCAAATCCCTCGGAGCTCCCGGAATCCAAAGCTTCGTTGATATATTTGTTATTTTTTTTAAAATACCATTGACTTTAATGTGGTCGAGGGAAGGAAATCCAAAGGCCTTGCAGTCCTTAAGATGAGCAATTATCTCCGTGGAAGTATTTCTGCAAAATTCCACGGTGGTTTTCGCTGGGGTGGGAAGGGGCTCTGGGAGCTGCAAGTAAAACAAGGTCTAGAATTTCAGCTCTAAAACCCAAATGCACAAACCCCTCCTGTCTTAAACAGTCAGGAGTGGAAACCCTGCATGTCCTGTGGGATGAGTAATTCCAGAGGGATCACTGTCCAAGCGGGAGAGCAGGGATTTCAGCCAGGAGCAGGGAAAGATGGGAGGGGGCTGGAATGATGCTGGAGTTTCTGGCTCAGGGAAAGGTGGGGGAGATGAGTTATGGGATCCTAGAGCAGGGAAAGATGGAGGGGCTGGAATGATGCTGGAGTTTCTGGAGCAGGGAGAGATGGGGGGCTGAGTAACAGCCAGGTGGTCCTGGAGCAGGGAAAGATATGGGGTTGAGTAACATTCAGGGGTTCCTAGAGCAGGGAAGGATAACGTGCTGGGCTTGCTGGAGCAGGGAAAGATGTGGGGCTGGAGTAACACCCAGGGGATCCCGGAGAAAGGAAAGATGGGATTGGGGAATCTCCAGCATTCCAGGAGCAGGGAAGGAGAAGAGCGGGTGCCGAGTAACAGGGGATCCTATAGCAGGGAAAGACTGGGGCCGGAGTAACACTGGAGCAACGGGGGGAGTCCCGCGCGTCGAGTCAGTAGCTGCCATCCTACTGGCAGCTGGGGGGGTGTGCTCGGAGCCCTC